TGGTAACCATGGTAACTGCAGTAACCATGGTAACTGCAGTAATTATTTAATCTTACCCTAAAACGTGCATATTACTATCATTCTTGTGTGTTTTATTTCACTTATTTCACTTTTACGCTTCTGTGGAAATCCTGAGCAAAAGTTTAATGTCCGAACTTTTGATCACTTTTCTTCGTACCTGTTCGCTGGTATTTTGATCTAAAACATAAAAAACAGACAAATTCGATTAAATATTTGATTGACTAATTTATATATTTGATAAATTAAATTGAACAATCAATAACTCAGTTCCGACGTTTATCTCGTTTCTCCGTGATGTTGAGTCTCCGAGAGAGGTTCGAGAATACGTTGTCAGCTACCTGGGGGACACGCTTTCAACTGACAAGTTCATACAGGTCAGATATTTTGATATCATTTTTACTTTTTTTACAATTAAACTTTCGTTTTCTTGCTTACGTTATAGTTGGTCTTTTAAAAGTACGTGTATAATACGGACGCAGTGGGGACCACTTGCACAGTGGGGATCACTTGCACAGTGGGGATCACTTGCACAGTGGGGAACACTTGCACAGTGGGGACCACTTGCACAGTGGGGACCACTTGCACAGTGGGGATCACTTGCACAGTGGGGATCACTTGCACAGTGGGGACCACTTGCACAGTGGGGACCACTTGCACAGTGGGGACCACTTGCACAGTGGGGACCACTTGCACAGTGGGGACCACTTGCACAGTGGGGATCACTTGCACAGTGGGGATCACTTGCACAGTGGGGAACACTTGCACAGTGGGGACCACTTGCACAGTGGGGAACACTTGCACAGTGGGGATCACTTGCACAGTGGGGATCACTTGCACAGTGGGGAATACTTGCACAGTGGGGACCGGTTCACGTACTGTAGTGCGACATGTACCCTAGTGCGAAACCTCCAAGATCGACCATGTCGCAGTTGAGTACGTTACCTGGATCGTAGTGCGACACGTACCCTAGTGCGACAGAGAATGTTCAAGGCCGACACTGTCGCACTACAGTGCGCTACCTGGACTGTAGTGCGACACGAACTAAAGTGCGACAAAGCACTTTACACATTCACTAGGTCATGTTGCTGCATCTTCCTTCTCCAGCCGTCAGGATAGAGTCAGTGGATAGTCACCAGCTGCGTGAACAAGTTAGTCGAGGTGCTGTAGGTACCATCGATGACAAGATGAGGGGCCTCAGCTAAACAATCCATATTTTGCCGAACAGGAAAGATCTTCTTCTCTCTGCTGAAAAGGTAGAATCCGAAAGAAGGAAGGTTTCACCACCGTTCGTTCGGATGTAGTCAGGAGTTAGGAGCTGTGCGTGCCATCTTAGCGAGGGATTCCTGCTGACAGTTGAGTTTTGACATGGCTTCGAAGGAGAGGGGTCCAACAGCGTCAGCAATTAGGTGTTTCGTAGGGAGGTCAGTATCGGAGGCTTTCCGTTTCATGTTCTGCTTTGCTGTGTAGACAGAGTTTGCTGCAGGAGTAGGAGGGTGGGAATGGGTCTTCTTACTGGTCACAGTAGTGTCGTTCATCAAACTGAGAAGTCCGGAGCAGATCTTCTCAGTGCATCGCCAGTAGGTCATGTCGTCGCGCTTCTAGGAATGAAGACATGTTGATGTTGTTCGATGCTTTGGTAGAATCATCGTGACCTTTATATATATGGCCCAAGCATATGAACTTGTTATCCCAATCGGAGATATACCTTCATACGATGCGTGATAGGAATGAGGATCATATGCTGCTTACGAGTTACCCGGTGGATCACACACTGCATACGTGGCTTGAACTGACCCGAAGGGTTGTGATCAGTGGATCACTTCGAAACACGTGATGTGAACCGACGAATCGTATTCTCAAGATCACTTCGAAATAAGTGACGTGAACCGACCCGACGAATCACTTAATGGTCCATAAGAAGGATAGGATGTGACCTGAACTTGAAAATAAGTCAGGATATTTTGTCGCACTAGAGTACGCTACCTGGATCGTAGTGCGACACGTACTGTAGTGCGACAGAGGGTGTTTTTGTCGGACTTCGCACTAGAGTACGTGTCGCACTAGAGTACGTGTCGCATTACAGTACGATTACCGTGGGGACCACTTGCACAGTGGGGATCACTTGCACAGTGGGGATCACTTGCACAGTGGGGATCACTTGCACAGTGGGGATCACTTGCACAGTGGGGAACACTTGCACAGTGGGGATCACTTGCACAGTGGGGATCACTTGCACAGTGGGGATCACTTGCACAGTGGGGAATACTTGCACAGTGGGGAATACTTGCACAGTGGGGATCACTTGCACAGTGGGGACCACTTGCACAGTGGGGACCACTTGCACAGTGGGGATCACTTGCACAGTGGGGACCACTTGCACAGTGGGGACCACTTGCACAGTGGGGACCACTTGCACAGTGGGGAACACTTGCACAGTGGGGATCGACCACTTGCACAGTGGGGACCACTTGCACAGTGGGGACCACTTGCACAGTGGGAACCACTTGCACAGTGGGGACCACTTGCACAGTGGGGACCACTTGCACAGTGGGGACCACTTGCACAGTGGGGACCACTTGCACAGTGGGGATCACTTGCACAGTGGGGACCACTTGCACAGTGGGGACCACTTGCACAGTGGGGACCACTTGCACAGTGGGGACCACTGCACAGTGGGGATCACTTTTACAGTGGGGATCACTTGCACAGTGGGGATCACTTGCACAGTGGGGATCACTTGCAATTTTTACGTGCTTATAGAGTTAGTGGATATTTTCGTTTTTGGCTTAAATTTTGATTAATAAATTTATGGATCATCAGAATATCCCAGAGCGAGTTTTGGCAAACATTGTATGAGTTGGGAAATTAATGTCTGGTACTGTAAATCAGTAAAGTGTTTTAGCATCTAGTCAATTCACAACGTTTATAACGATGGTAACGTGAAATTTGAACAAAATATTAATCTGTACACAGAATAAGTTAACCTCGACAGTTTTAAAACACTTATTAAAACTGCAGCTAAGTTTGACAATGGAGAAGATGGGTGTTTTTGTTGGATGATTCCTATCATGTCCGGAGCCAATCAATAGAACCCCGCAGAGATTTCAACTCTCAATTCGGACTCCAGCTATAACAAACTTAGATTCCTGTTACACATTTTGTACTGTGCTGGTTCGAATCTTGTAAAAATTGAGTTTGAATGAAGCTATCAGCCACTTTCTCTGCACCAAAGATGGATGCTTGCAAGTTTACTTTTGGTAACCACAAAACTGCCACTCATTAACGTTCAATGTTCAATCATGCCGCTTGCAGCCTTTACGACGGCTTACATTGTATTAGGAGTGTCACTCGCATGGAAATAACTCCGCTTCCCTTGTGATCGGAGATATTGGATTGCTTCAAAACGCTAGTTTCCACTCTTGCAGAATTTGGCCGCTATTGTACTTGTAGGATCCACGAAAAATTCATATTAGAGGATAAGCATTAAGTTATAAACCAACGGACAAATTTTTAAGAATGTTACCGTGTACACCATATTAGCCCTGGGCTTTATTTGAACTAGCAGAAACCCGTATGGTGTCAAGACTCAAGAGACTAACATAATTATTACCTATTTAATTCTCCGCTGTCTTTATATAGAAGGTCTCTATAGAAAGCCATGCTGCCTAGGAGTAGGATCAAGAAGGACGTTTGTCAAAGAAAGAAACTTAAACCAATTAATAGCTGAACGAAGCTTACTAACATGATCAAAGTCAATTTTAAAACCAGCATCATTGACATAGGAGTTAGGACTAGGAGATGACAAAGCAAATTATTATCTCGTGCACTATACAATAAAATATTGTGTAATTTACGTGTTTTCAAATCCTACAAAGAAACAGCTTACCCCACAAAACCTAAAATTCTCATTTTTATTCACAAAATGGGCTACTCAAATCGTACAAAAAACTACTCACCCGCAAAACCTGGACAATTTCCCATAGAATTGTATTCTGCAATTGTATCTTGACAATAATTTTGATAATTCACCTACAAAATATGCACTATTAGTTCCAATTTGTATTATATTAGAGGTGGCCTAGTGACCCAATTGTTACGTCATAATCAAGTCCCTTCATATCTGAATAGCAGCTGTAGGATAGTCAAATGTATCCGCATAATTCGGTATCCTTTATATTATTGGATCTCCAGACAGAATCTTTTATCAAGGCGAAATTGGGTGATTTCCATATAATATGAGCAATGAAACGAACTTCTTTGTAAAAACTGGTCATATTTATTATTTTATTGAACACTAAAATCTGAGAAAATCAATAGTTAGGAATTCACAATATTTTAATTATAGAAGATGGGAAATCAAGTCAGGACTCAGATAACGGGTCTTCGATGATCAAATATTTATCAATACTTAAAATTCACACAGATAGACCAAGATTACTTATTATGTATGAACATTCGCATAAATTTTCTGTGAGCTATTATAGGAAATCATCTTGAAAGATATTAAATAAAAACACAAATAGGAATAATAATGATACAAGATTAATTAACACATTGAAATTAAAATGACATTATTGAGATCAAATGTTACCCCAACTAAAATCTGTCATTGTTAAATTGTCCTCACTTTAGAAGTGGAACACAATCATAATTTAAATTTTCTTTGGCTAACAGTAACTCTAAGATTTTCTGATTTGTGATAAATCTTACAGTTAATTTCAACTTAATAATAGTCAGAAGTATAATTCACAGTCTAACTGAAAGTCTGATTCCGAAAATCAGTTCTATCCTACAATCACTCAACCGGGCAAGGATACATATTTGTCACTTAATTACTCACAAAATCTAACAAAATTTCCTGGAAACGTACCTCCGAATTCCCGTGAGAAATAAATCGTACGGGTATATGCCTAAGTGTTTATGACATCGAACTGGAGAACAACTCTCTCCTAACAATCTTCCTAGACACTTACCAGCATATGAACATCAGCTTGCCTAGCGAAGGGATTCATCCAAAGGGCAAAGGAGATTTTAGTATTATCATAACACCTTGCTTTGTCAAAACAGAGAACACTCTGGATCTTGCGATTGAAAAGCAACAAACCGAAGTCCTCAATTGTTCAGTAGAACACACCGAAATTGTCCCAAATTCGTCTACCCCTGAAGAGACTGTTTCAAATTCCTCCTCTACCCCTGAGAAGACGACACCTACTGATCCTAATGAGGCAGAACAAACTAAGACTGTCTCGAATTCTTGTGTCCCTGTGGAGACGTCAGCAAATGACCCCATAGAAGTAGAGCACGCTATGACTGTCCAAAATACTTCTACCCCTGAGAAGACAACAGACACTGATCCCGCAGAAGCAGAAAAAACTAAAAGTGTCTCAAATACTTCTACCCCTGAGAAGACGACAGCAAATGACCCCGTAGAGAAGGCGACAGTTCCTGACTCCAATAAAGCAGAACAAACTAAGACCGCCTCAAATACTTCTACCCCTGAGAAGACGACAGCAATTGAGTCCGCAGAAGCAGATCACGCTATGACTGTCATAAATTCGTCTACCCCTGAGAAGGCGACAGTTACTGACTCCAATAAAGCAGAACAAACTATAAAGACTGCCTCAAATACTTCTCATCCTGAGGAGACGACAGCTCCTGCCCCACCGAGTGTGGAGACACAGAGCACCATCGACCCCTCGAAAGAGTCGGCACCGGACGCGGCATTCATTGATACCAAAACTCTTAAACTGTTTCTGAGTAAAGAAACATTGGTGCAACTTGCTGACCGAAACTCGAAATCTAAAATCATCGAGCTGGTGAAGCTGTGCCACATGAGAGTAGCGCATACTTCAGAACAAAACAGGAAGATGGTTCTTGACCACCTGTTGGATGCTTCGCAAGGAAAAGTGAAACTCCAGCCGAGTCTAATCGATAAACTTGTCAAGAGACTTAATGATGAAGCAGTCACTGCCGAACTGATGAACATGGGTCTTGAGGTGCCTCAAAGTGCTAGAATGCGTAAAAACGCCCTTGAAACCTACCTCAATAATGAATTCAGTACTCTTAACTCAAGTGACTTCAATGAAACCTGTCGCTTGGAAAAAAGTAGAATCGGAAGCCCTAAGACAAAAAAACAAAACCCAAAGGGAAAGAAAAACGAGAGCAACAAAAAGACTAGGGCAACCAAGAAAACTAACGACAATGCAGCTAACACTACCGCAGAAACGAGAAATTGTGCTAATGTCACTTCGGATACATGCCACTCAGCAGAACGGAGAGGATGATAAAATCACTGAAAACACCGATGAACCGTCTGCACAAGACTCAAAGACTGCTAGGTGTTTTCCTACCACACCAGAAGAATCTGCTGAACCACATGAACTTGTCCCCAAGAAAGGCAAACCAAAAATCGGAAGAACAGAGGAAAAAAAAACCAGACCCAACAAATCAAGCTACTGGAAGCCTTGGAATGAGCAATCCAGCATTTGAAAAACCCCTCAAAATACTTGAGAATAGTATTCTCAAGCTCCAAGAAACAACGAGCAATCAACAAGCTCAGCTGGAACTTTTCAAGAAAGACCAAATAGCCAAAAGCGTCGACGCAGAGTTGTCAGACCTGAAAAGCAAAGTGCTATCTCTCTTAGAGATGATAAAGATTCAGCAAAGCACCCTTGACAACCTTGTTAATCAAAGATCGACTCAAGAGCAACAAGTTGGGACTTCCAAAGCTCTACTTACAAATCCACCCAAACAAATGATGAACAGAGAAACCCAAACTACAAACCCCCATGATCACAAAATAAATGACAGAGGGACTCATACCGAAACATCATGTCAAACAGATCAACCAGCTTATAATACATCACCATCTCTGATTGAAAGCAAAGAAACCCAGACCATCCTTATGATCAGAGAAGCGCCCTCGCCAAACCAGAGATCTACCACTTGTAGGGCTACAGCTAACAAGATTGAACGACAGCCGGAAAACAAAGAAACTCCTCCCAGCGGAGCTGACCAAACTGAAGAAAAACCCCAAATCAGTACTCCATCACAAGCGAACAAAGTTCTTTTACCTACACCATTCGTCGCTAAGAAAGCTCACGACCAACATGCTGGAAAAAAGACTGCCAAGCAAGACGGCTCCAAAAAAGATAACCAGTATGATAAAAACTACAGCCACCGTGATGGTTCTATTAGTAGTCACCAGGAGAAAAATAAAGAGACGACACCACCACGTAGCACAAATGACACTAATAAAAAGCCACGATGCCTTCTTGTTTTTGACGACCAGCTGAACGAATTCGAAAGTGATAAATTCAGTAAACAGTTTGATATCAACACATACAAGGTGTTTTCTGTAAATGATATCCTGTCAAGAGGCGGCCTGGTAACAAAAATAAAGAATGTCTCATACGACACAGTCTTTCTCCATGTGGGACTTCAAGATCTACACTGGCTTAAGACAACCCCTGAAGATCTACACAATAAGTACAAACAGCTTATTTATAAACTCCTAGAAACAACTAATACCAGAATCTGTGTTTCTCAAATCATCCCCATCAAGGGATATCCGTACCTGAACGAAAGGATACAACAAGTCAATGAAATGATGTCCTCCCTGATAAGCTCGATCAGGCTTACTTATGAGTACAAAAAACGTATCTTCACTTCCTGCAATGACAATTTAGCTAACCTTATCACAAGGACTGTTGGAAGTCATGGAATTGAACTAACCCTATCGCCTGAGGGTAAAAGGAAAATCTGGCTGCTAGTTAAGGATTCCTTGCAAAGAACCCTTGGACTTAATAGAGATAGAGTAAGAAAACTCAATATCTCAAGATACACAAATAAGGACAGAGACAATGACTAGCACAATCGAGTCTTGCTCTTCCGTTCTTAAAATATCGCAGCCCAATGTTAGACTGGAAACCAAAATCCTCTCGGAACTCCCGATCTTATCTTGGAACATCCACGACACCGTGATGAGCGAAGAGGGCCTTAAAACAAATGACAGTGATTTTGTGGAAATACTGCAGCAAAGCTTGATTTTCTGTCTCCAAGAAACCAAACAAAACTTCTCGCTTCCCAATTACGAGTGTTTCAATAGCTTAAGAGCTGACTCTCGCTCTGGTGGCATATGTATTGGTGTACACCGTTCCCTCACTTCGAACGTCAAGCTGTTAAGAACGGGATGTTCGGATTTCCAGGCCATCACTGTATTCCCCCAAGATGATAGTCGGAAATTCACTATTATAAATGTGTATGACTCCCCTGAACAATCCTCTTACAAAGCACGACGAAAAGGATTGTCAGAACCGAGTACATTAGATCTCTTATTGGAATTTAGGGCCAAAACCCCCAATTTAGGAGAAACACTCCTGGTAGGTGATCTGAATGCAAGAACTGCCGGTAAAAACACCACACCAGAAGAGCTCAGTGATGAACATGAACCGGAAGTAAATTACCCTATAAGTTTTCCTGAGTCGGTCGAGAGAATTAGTAAGGACCAAATACACAACTCAAGGGGAGCGCTTTTTCTAGACTTCTTAGCATGCAACAATCTACCAATCCTAAATGGGTGTACACTTGGAGATATATTCGGAGATTTCACCTCGGTTAACTACAACGGAAGCAGTGTAGTTGATTATTTTGCTGCTACCCCTAATACCTGCGAGAGAGTATCTTCATTCCAAATCCTAGAACTCACCAAGTTCTCTGACCACAAACCGTGTTTCTGCAAACTAAAATGTAAAATCTAGGTAAACTATAGGTAAAAATATAATATTAATCATAAGCTAAAATGTACTAATCTTTGTATTCTAAATGGGGAAAAAGAAGAAACATTGTCAGTCAGTCGAGAAAATTGTCAGTCAGGCTATATGGCAGCTTTGTAGATGTTGTGACTATGCTAGTAGTGGTCCCAGGCTTGCGACTGGAATTGCGGTGTTAAATCGATTTAATGGTACCAACGATCCACCTCCCACTTGTTGTTTGGTACTTAGCATTAATAGTGTTAGCTGTAGCCATTTATAGCAAGAATCTTAAAACTAAAGGGGATGACAAGGAAAAGAGGAAGGAAAAAGAATAACGGGACAAACAATTAATTAAAGTATTTATAGGAGTATTAGATATTGTAATTACAAGCTTCAATAATAAATCACTGACTAAAACTTCTAATTAAAATGATACTTGGTACGCTCGCCCATTTTCACTGGTCAGTCTGAACTTCGGTTTAGCACGTTGTACACTTATTCACCTAAGTTTCAGAATTTGTTCAGTTTAGCAGAGTTAGTACCCGTGTTTCAATAAATCAAAAGATATCAGGGGAGTTCTTTAATAATGTTACGGTCATCTAGAATACCGAACTTCCTGAAAACGTTATCATATTTCCTCAGACAACGTTTAATGCCTTTAATCAGTCTATCACGGCTATATCCTCTATCAATTAGAATTTTGAATATTTTGTGAAGATGGGAGGTAAAGATATCCAATCTAGTGCAAACATTACCATATCTAAGAACTTGACTTGAAAAAACGTTGTAGCCAACCTCGGTTGGGATGTTACTGTGAGGAAATGTAAGGGATACAACATGAAAATTAAAATCATCAGTTTTGTTATACACTGATATTTCAAGTCCTTCTGTGGAAATATTAATATTTAAATCAAGGTAGTTAATGATTTTATTATTGGAACCAGCTCGCTCCATCTCCAATGAATTAGGATAAATATCTTTAATCAATTTATGAAAGTAAAGGTAGTTAATAATAGATAAATCGTCAACATATCGTTTATTATTGGATAATATCTTTGCTAATCCCATTTTCTTTTCCTGAAGTAAACGTTTCATATAATTAAATTCCTTTTTGCCAACAGTGAGATCAGCTATAGGGGAACTTGAATTTCCACCCATAGGAATACCCTTGGTTTGTATGAATACAATCCCACCGAAGACGACATAAGTGTTATAAATAATAAATTTAACAGCCTCTTTTAGGTCATCTTGACTAAAGCAGGCATGAGAATTATAGGTTTTATTGGAAAAGAAACATGTATTACTGTCTCTTTTAGAAATACAAATATATCTATTACGGTCTGAAAATATTAAATCAACAACTTCATTAATCATATTCTCTACTTCAATCAAGTCTAATCTGGTATAAAGAGTAGTAAAATCATATACTTGTATATTATAAACATCGCTATTTTTGATAGCTTCAAGGAATTCACTTGAGGAATCTATGCTCCAAAACATGTTTATACCGCTGTTGTTGTAGATTGCCTCGCAGTATTTCTTGAAGTATTTCCTCAAAAGTTTCAGACAACAGTTAACTTGGACGTTAAGTTGTTTCGTAACGCAAAAACGGGCACCTGCAATGAACCTCGCCTTGTAAGGGTTCTTATGAAGCTTAGGGTTCCAGAAGATGCGTGCTAGTCGCAAGTTTTTATCTTCAACTTGTACATTAAATCTCTCCTTTAGGCTCTCAGATGAAGTGTTATCTCCGACGCGGAAGCGCTAACAGAAACCCTGGAAGATGCACCCCCCATAAATGGAACGGGGCTGAAAATGAAGCGAACCGGTATCGCTATATTGCAGTACAAAATACCCCTCAGTTTGCAGACCAAATTGAAAGTATAATAGGAACTGAATGTTATAACAAAGAAGACGTGATACGTTTAAGTCAAGTTATTGTTAAGATTCTAAATGATGTTGCCGACAAAATGACTCCTAATAATAATACAAAACAAAATAGGAAAAAGCGCCAAAAATACCGAGGAAAAAAGGCTCGAATGAAACCCAAAGCACCCTGGTTTGATGCTGCGTGCATCAATAGCAAGCGAGAACTGAATCGTCTCGCCAAGTCATACGGAAAAAAACCCGGCAAGCCAATACCTTAGAAACAGCTACTATGAGAAACGTCGTCTTCACAGAAAACTCATCAAACTTAAGAAGTCATCCTTCTTTAAAGAACTGTGTAGTGATATTGAATCAGGTGACAATATTAATTGGGCAAGATTCAAGAAACTTAAAGAACTGAAGACAGAAGGTAGCAAACTTGACGTCTTTGACATGCTAAACTTCTGCAAATTCTTTAAAGATCTATATGGCAAACCTTCAATCGATGAAACTAGAATCGAGCAACTGCAGAACGGGATGACTAGGAGTAATTTGCAGTCGGAACTCTCTGAATCTCTCGATCAAAACATAACACACGAAGAACTCCTTAGATGCATCAACTCCCTTAAAAGAGGCAAAGCAGTTTCCGAGGATTGTGTCCTGAACGA